AAACATGAAAATTTTATTTTGGCCTGACAGAGCGAGATGTCATTATGCAAAACACACATTAGAAAATTACAACACTTTAGGTATTAACTTTGTCGACCCTAAAGATAACCCCCCAAATGTACTGCAGTTAAAGCCAATTGAAAATTTTTAGGCACATTTAAAAGCAAAAGTTTATGGAAATGGATTTACTGCGAAAAATCTTGACCACCTTAAAAATAGAATTTGATTAAAGTTGAAAGAGCTTGATCCAGACTAAATATTTAACCTAATGGATTCAGTCAAAACTAAAGTTCGAAAAGCCGCTGATTTAGGACCACTTTCGGTTATAAAATAGTTAACAATGTCCAGTCTCTCATTTTAGTTAAAATTTTTGTCAAAAATTGATTAATTTTGTATTCAATTAAGAACAATTTTTCATTCCGGATTTTTTGTGGACAGACGTTCAAGTCTTTAATATTTTTGGCTTCTTTTACATTGAACCATAGTTTTCTTTTGACAAGAGCCCAATATCTTTCGATAGGATGTAGTTCAGGACAACTTAATGAACTGCAGTGTTTTTCAACAAAATCTATTTTATGTTTTCTAAGCCAGTTTAAAGTTGTCCCAGAGTAATGACATGATGCTGAATTGGGCCAAAATAACAGTTTACCTCTGTGTGTTCTTAAAAATGGCAAAAGACATTTCTTAAGGCATTCTTTTATGTATATTTTGGTGCTAATTGTTCCCATAGTCATAAAACAAGAGCTTCTTTCACCACATTCACAAATTGCTTCCTAAACTAAGAATTTTTTAGCGCATTTTTGCATTCCAATGCATTTATAATTGGAATTCAGTTTCTTCCCATTAATTGCTGAATAATGTCCTGGAGAAGATCAAAAATATGCAGTTTCATCATCAATAATCAAACAAGATTTTTTGCCACATAATTTTTTATATCTTTGAACAACGAATAGAAACACTTTCTTGCTTTACTTCACTATGAGGAACATTTTTCTTTTTATAAGATTTATAGCCACAATTTCTCTTCACTCTTTGTATAGTGGAAGCATTTGTCTTTTCACTTTCACTTTTTTACACATTTTTTTAAGATCTTATCTAACAGAACATTTCTTCCACTACCTAATTTCCTTTTGATTGTACTAGTGTCCTTTAATCGTATCACAACGCTCTGCACTGTTTTTAAAGCAATCTGCAACTCTTTAGAAATTGTGCAAAATTTTTTCTCGCTTCTTATCTTGATTTGATGGCATTTCAATTAAAAACAATTGTTTTGATAATGAGTTGTTTAAATTTTGAATAACACTAACACAATAACATTTTAAAACAATTAGCTATTTAAAATGATGCACAGTTTCCATAAACACCACATCAGAACATGCGCAGATTTTTTCTGGTACAAGTCTTATATATCTTTCTTCTTTTTCTGGTGTGTGCGCATATACATATATATATATATATATATATATATATATATATATATATATATATATATATATATATATATATATATATATATACTAACTTAAAACATCAGATAATACGAATTCTCTAAATACTAAATAATTTATTTGAAATTTTCGCCGGATTATAGGCACCGGCATCATCAGCATATAATATAATATAATTACAAAAATTGTGACCGTTAAATAACAACAACAAAATTTTTAAATTTTGACGTCACCTTTATAATGGCTTCTTGTACCTAAGTATGAAAAAAAAGTCCAAAAATTTGTTTTTAAATATTGTCCATTGTCCAAATTCATACCACCGCACGCTGCCTATTTAAACTGTAAATTAAATTTTTGGCTAATTTGTATGAAAGCATTCATTTTCTGCCCTGGAATTGAACATACATATATTTATACACACATGCGCACAGACACACACTCACAAAAAACATACACATATATAGTGAATTTTTTATTTATTTTCTATATAAATTATAAAAATTACCTGCAGTTTTCCATCCATTGGTACCATGTCTTCTCATGCATTTGAGGTATTATCTTTAAATCACCATTACGTACAGCCTAATAAGTCCAAAGTGAAAGCCCATAAAAATTAAATTTTTTATAAGCTAAAATATTTTAGGTAATAATAAATACAGCTTAAAATTACAGCTTACATACACATACTACATAAAAATATATATATATTTTTTTTGAAAGCAAATTAAATCACAATTTTAAACAGCAAAAAATAAATCTATGTTATTTAATTGCTAAAATTTACCGACTCCCTCAGGAGTTGGTTAAAACTTCAACAAAAAATAATTATCGAAACATGTAGTTTTGTAAATGGCGTTTTTGAATTGATTATTAAAAAAAGTTCTTTTATCAATAGTTATAGAAATATTGTTGTTTAATAACGAGTAACTTTTAATAATTGACTGATGTTTTTTTTAATTTATTTAGATTTACCATTAGTATCATCAAGTATGAGAGTTAAAATTAAAGAACTTGATCACAAGCTCAGCACAATTTGGTTAATGATTTGTTTAAGCAAGGTAAAACATTTCGGTCAATAAATAAAGTGACTTAAATAGCATTAAGAACTATTAGCGATCTGATTAAAAAGTACAAAATGTTTGAATATGTGCAAAATCAGCCAAGATCCCGAGCTAAGCATAAAATAACATCCAGATTTGATTGATAAATTTTCAAGATTGTGCACAAAAAAAAACAGTTATCAGCACTAAAAGCATCAAACCTTCTCATAAAAGATTTTGGAATACAAATGAGCGCATGTATTATTCGAAATCAACTCAAGACACCATTCTTTTCAATCAAAAACAAAGACTTTTGCTCAAAAATATGTAAATATGCCAGTATGCACTCTGAAGGAATGTTTTGTGGACTGAAAAGTCAGAATTTAATCTTGTGAAATCGAGCTCAAAAAGTACAGAGAAAAAAAGATGAAACATTCACACTCAATTGCATTCAAGAAACAGTAAAGTTTAGTAGAAGCATTTTTATGGTCTGGGGAGCTATGGCTCGGAATGGAAAAGGAACTGTAGTTTTTGGTTGAATTATGGACTTTGAGGTTTATGTTAGCATTCTCAATAGAAATCTTTTGGCTTAACTAAAAAACTGCGGTTGGGAAAGTATTTTATCTTCCAACAAAACAACAACCCTAAGCATGCACCAATGAAAGCAAAAAAGTTTTTTAACCTGGAAACAGATTGATTTATTTGAATAGCTTGCTCTAAGTTCAGATCTCAATCTAATTGAGCACCTTTGGGCTTTTCTGGTTCAAAAATGCAGCACTCAATGTCTAGAAAGAAAAAAAGAGCTAAAGATCTGCACCAAGAAACATGGACTCATATTAATCCAGATACAACAATGAAATTAGTTGAATCAATGTCATGTTGACTTGCAAAAGTCATAAAAGCTAAAGGTGGTTTAACTTGATATTAAAAAGTTAAAAAAAATTAATTACTTCGAGAAACGTTTAATCTTTAAAATCCTGTTTGGATACTTATTTATACTTTAGGATCTCTCTCATCTTGAAAATTATGGTCTTGGAAATCTCTGTAATATACAACAACATATTAAAAACATATAACAGAGTGGCTTTTGATAAACTTGATAATGTTCAATATATATCTTTTCTTTTTATAGCAGTATCCATTAGCCATTATGAGGTCACCAAATTTACGCTAACCAACATTAACTCTGTTTTTGAGTTAGATTTAACCTTTTAGAATTAGAGTCTAACCATTAAATTTCTCATAAGTTTATATATTTTATATTAAATTGCTATACTAGATGAAAATTTATAATAATAAAGAAAAGATCAAAAATGACAAAAACTCCATTTTCATGCAATATTTTTTTATTATTATTCTGATTCACTTCCAACAAGGCTGCAGCTAAACACTATTAAGAGTTACTAGAAAAAAGAAAAAAAAAAAAGAATAGAATTATAGAGCTAGGAAACAGTTTACTATATTTATGCAGTCCAAAATGTTTATTATACCTTTTTTATTATCTTTATTTCTGAACTAGCGAATCAACTTTAATTAGGCAAAATACCCAGTGGAAAGTATGTACTTTGTTTTATTTTTAAGTTTAAAAATGCTTTTGACATCAATTGGTCAAATTAATTTTCCTAAAGTTTTTGTCAAACTTTCAAGTCCAATATCTAGTGAACTAATACATATTTTTTTAAACATTTTAGGGAGTTTACCTACTAGTATGAATAGCATCAAAATACTAAAAAAATAGAAAAAGAGGGTCAAAATTGAGCTCTGCCTGACTCTTACAGAAAGTTGCTCCTAAGAACTCTTTAAAACTGTAAATACCTGAACAGCTTTTGCAGCCATTTCTTTACAATCCACATACCATTGAGGAATTAAAAGTGGTTCAACAATATCTTTTGACCGACTAATAAAAAAAATTCATTTAGACTAGACTACATTCATTTAGACTAGATATAAACTAAAAAATATAAAATGTTTTTTAACTTGCCTGCACATAGGAATAACCATGGCATTATCTTCAGTTTTTATATACATATTTATTGATTTGAGAGCATTTAAAACTTCATATCTTGCAACAAATCTTTTCATTTTCTAAAAATGATTTTAAAAATAGAAAATAAACAAAACAATACTTTTGAATATGTTTTTAAAAGGAAATAAGAATCAAAAAAAAATTTCACATTGTTATAAATAAAGTTATTAGGAATGTTCACAGTTATAACAAATTAATCCAGCCACATCATAAAAATTACAACAGTCTTGATTTTTATTTCAGTCCACAAGTATTCAGTAGAACTGTAGATTTTTATTCTACAGTTCTAGCTGTTGCTTGATGCATGAAATATTTTAGGATCAAAACATGTCTTCTTTCCTTTGGCATTGAAAAAATCAAAAACTTTAAATTCTAAACTTTAAGTATTGTTTTCGTTGCACCACCTGACCAAAGGGGTAATTAACTCAAAGATTGAAAAAATTTGTGCATAAAAAAATGACAAATTTATTGCAACAAAAGTAGACATGTTCACTGAGACACTCATAACTAACATGTTTTAAATATTATTTGTACAAAGCAGATGTTAATCCAGGTCAGAATAAAAATATTTGTCATGTGCCAAAATTTAAAAAAAAAAAAAAAAAAAACAGAAATGAAGTAAATAAAAGTGCATTACTACTTTTATCAACTTTAAAAGCGTTTACAAATTAAAAGTTTTCTTAGTAATCTTGTTGCAAAAAGTACATGCGTTAATTTTAAAATCACCCAACCTTAGACAAAGGTAATATTTATCCAATCAGGTTATTTTGTGTCAACATTGTTGTAAAACATGATTTTTTTTTCATGAAAATCTTTATCTAGGAATATAATAGTTAGCAACTGCTTCAAATAATATGCTTTCAAAATTGCAAAATGACTTTGGCCCATTGCAATTTGCAATTCGCTGCCCAAAATTTTTTCATAGAATAACCCCTGACTGCACACCCTAGACAATATTTTGTCTGACATTCAAAGTTCTAGAAATCAGACATAAATCTCAGTTTCAATAATAAAATATTTGATTCAATTAAAATAAAATTAAAAAATATTTTTTTTTTTGCAAATTTTTTAAAAAAATAAAATATATTTTTTTTTAACAATAGGGGTTCTAATATTCTGAAAAAAATTAAATTATAAAAAAAAAAAATTAAACATTAAATTAAAATAATACTAAATTTTTTATCATACTGTAACTGTGAACATTGAAAAATTTGACTTAAATTAATCTAATTTTATTTTTAAATGGCTAAACAATAAAGAAAAAAAAATTATACAAGATTTGGTTGTTCTTTTTCTAAGATTAAAAAAGGAATGTATTTGGTTTGCTAGATAGCAAAAAACATTTTTAATTAACTTAAAAAAAAAATTTTTCTGACTTCGCAAAGTTTGCAAAAAAATATCAGAGAATATACATTTAGTGAGCAATTCAATTTTAGAAATTTAATTCTATTTTATTAAGTGTAATGAAATATTAAAGCTTTCAAAATAACAAACTCACAACAAATGTTTTGTACTCATCCTTGAAGTCGTCAATATCCTTTATAAGACCAGATTCGTCAAAAATATTTATAAATGGAAGGTTGTGACGTTTACCAATTTCATAATCATTGTGATCATGAGCAGGAGTAACTTTTACAGCACCTGTAAGAATTGTTTAATAAAATTTGAAAAACTTTTTTTTACTTCTTTTAAATGTTTATGTTTATGTTATTATGTATATCATAAAAATATTTGGAAAATATTTGGAAAATATTTTTATAATATACAAAATAATCAACAAAAAAGCAACAATAACATCAAAAAACTAGAACTTAACTATATTGCCATGGGTACCAAAATTAAGTAATCAATTAAAAAAGATATTTAAAAATGCTGGCTATACTTCAGTTTTTAAATCACCAAAAAACATTCAACAATTATTAACTCAAAAAAAACAAGCCTTGACTTCCCAACAACTCTTATCCAAGAGTCTACAAACTGGAATTTCTGGAATGAAAACTCTATGTAGGTGAAACAAAACTCAAGGTTTCAAATCAATTTACCAACATCAAAAACATACTTTTGAGGGAATATGGAAAAATCAGCTGTAGCGGGGCATTCCAGAAATTGCCATGATGCCTTTAGCTGGAATAAAAACAATAATGTTAAAGTAGAGGAAGACTATTTTAAGAGAAAAGTGAGAGAGTCTTTGGAAATTTAGTTTTACCAGTGCTCTCCAAATCAAGGTGGTTTGAATGAAGACGACGGCGATTACGTCACGTCGTCATTTTGGAAACTTTATTTTTCTTATTGAAGACGCAAGAGCACATTACATTGAAGTTTTATTATTTGTTCATTTGTTTTTTTAACGGTTTTTTTATATTACATGAATAAGGAGGGTATATATAACCCCTAGAAATATTGTATTTTATTATAAAGAATTATATAAGGATAAGTTTACATAATATAACAGATGTTTCAACTTAATTAAATTATATAAAAACTTATCTAAGATGTTAACTTTTAAAAATGTTATAATACTTAAATTTTGATTTAAAATTTTGCCAGAATCCTGAGAAATTTTTGTAAAAAAAAATTACCAGGAATGCTGAGATGTAAAATATTAAACAAGAAAAATTTTGGTAATAATAATGCGTAAATAAATTATGCGTAAATTTTAAATTTAAATAAAGGATTTTAGAGGACTTTATTTTATAGGTTTAACTTAGATAACTTAGAAAACAAGATGAAGGGAGCAAATTCTAAAGAACTGATGTTCAAGGAAAAAAACTAGAAGAATAAGCATTTTTGGAGCACTTAGGAACAGTAGGTTGTTACTTTTACATTATGTTAGTTTACACTTAGGAACAGTAGGTCAGTTCCAAGTTTATGAGCACTTAGACACAGATTTAATCAAATTTTTAACTTTTTAAAGGATAAGAGAGTATTTTAGAGAAGATTTTGAAAAAGGAGAAATTTAAAGGATTTTAGAGGAGCTGTGGCTACCCTGCAAAAGGGTTTTGAATATAGATTCTTGTTAATTACTTCATAGCTTTTTTTGTGAATATTTTAGCAGGAAGACTTGAACATTTTTTATCCATAGCATTTACTGCGGACTCATAACATTACATAATGTTCAACTAATCTTTTAGGAACATCCTCACGGAAAAAAATTAAAACTAAATTTTCAGTTTTTATTTTTTTAACTTAGTTAAAACATAGTTTACACCTGTTAATTACAATTTTTTACAACTATAAATAGATGGTATTATCAATCCATTACATCATATAGATAATATTTGAACTTTATTTTTATTTTTATATAATATTTGAGGCACAAAAATGGGGGAGAAAAATAAAATAAAAACTTCATTTTCAACTTTTATTATTAAAAAAAATCTTCATTTTGAATTTTTATAAAATAAAAGCTTCAATTAAAATTTTTATTACAAAATAATAAGCTTCATTTTGAACTTTTATTATAACACTTTAGGTATCTATATTTAAATTTAGATATAAATTTCTAATTATTTAAATCAAATATTTTTTAGTTAGTAGAAGCACAAAATTAAAAGTAAAATATTTATTACCAGTTCCAAATGTTGGATCCACGGTATCATCAGAAACAATAGCTAACTTTCGATTGCAGAAAGGATGTAGGGCATATTTTCCAATCAAATGCTAAAATCATTAAATGCTTGATAACAAAAAAAACAACAACAATTTTAAAAAATTCTCAATGACTGTACTTATCTTGAAATTAGGGAGCTGTGTATTCAGCTCCCTATTTTCAACACAAAAAAAAATTAAAATAAAAATATTAAACCTATTAGAATGTTTTTACATTTTTAAATAATACAGCCATGTGCATAGTTAAAGTTGAATTTTTTTGTATGTCAAAGATATCATTGGTATATATACCAGTAAATATCATAGGTAAATATCATATACCAAAAAAATAATTAGTATATATCAACAAATATAATTAGTGTATATGCCAGTAAATATCATTGGTATATATGTTCCAGTAAAAATCTAAAACAGCAGGGTATTAAAAAATTTCTAAAAATATTGCATTTACATGAAAGATTCACAATAGTTTGACTAAAAAAAATGTAATATTTTGAATAAAGATCTTTTTAAAAATAAATTATTAAATTCTGCAAATTATTTAGTATTTACTATTTAGAAAACTATAAGTATTTCTCATTTATAAATCTTTTTAGATCCTTCAGATAAACTTTTAGCTGGTTTAGAAACTGCTTGTTTAGAAACTGACATTTGAATGAGAAATTCAAAAAATAATGGTTCAAGTCAGAAATTTGTATATATAATTTGTTTAACATCAAATAATTTGATGTACTAAAGAATGATCATTATCCAATGATCATTTCAAACATCTTCCATATATCTTTGTCATCCAAGTATCTAATTTTTTTTCCCACAAACATAAATGCTCTCTCACCTGTCTTCATATTTTCTTAATGATTAACTTATTTCATTCTTTAACTCTCTGCTTTACTTTTATTAACTCTAAACTTAAATAGAGGTTGCTTGCACCCTTGAATAGAGGTTGCTTGCACCCTTTCAATCAAACTTAAATAGAAGTTGTTTGCACCCTTAAATAGAGGTTGCTTGCATCTTTTCAATCAAACTTAAATAGAGGTTGTTTGCACCATTTTCAAAAGTAAACTTGTAAAATAAAAATTAAACACTTAAGAATTGTTTATTGCTTAACTTAATGCCAAATTATTTGAGACACTTAAACTTTTGTTATATTTTTTCTCCTCAAATTAATTTGTTAACACTAGAACAAATATAAAATCAAACTTTATATTTATTCTAGTGTTAAGAAATTGATTGGTGGATTTAATATTGTCATGAATAACATTTTTTAACAAAATTTAAAATAGCGGTAGCCATAAATGCCTTAAAGATTTCTTGTTAGAGTTAAGGTTTAAACCGAAATCTATGGTCAATGGAATTGGTTAAATGGTCTATAGAATCGGTCAAATGGTCTATGGAATTGGTCAAATGGTCTATGGAACCGAATAAATGGTTAAGTAGATTGAGACTAAAATGTTGCATGATGAGGTGAAGATGTGTGTACTTAGATGTGTAAATTCAAACTTTTAAAAATATTTGTCTGTCTGTTCTCCAGCTTTCCATTTCTGCAAAGTTTTCGTATTTATTATTATTATTTTTTAAATTGATAATTTTTTCTTTATTTAGCCTGATGTCTTGATCATAACATTTTTCAAATTACACATAGGAGCCTGACTCTAATTATAATTGAAAAATAACAAAATATTAATAATAATAGTTAACAGTTTAATGTAATTTAAAAAAGCTTAAATTATAAATCTTAAAATTCAAATAAATGAAAAAGAAGAAATCAATGATAACTTATTTGCACTTTTTATAAAAAATAAAAATCTGGTTTTTAGTACAAATCTCATTGCAGCCTATTCAATTTTATTACAAGCTACCATTTTAAGCATTTTAAGCCAGCATAGTTATATAATAAGCGACCATTTTTACTGTCTTAAGCCAGCTTTTTAGAATTTTATTTTTGCTATCTATGTTTAACATATATTTAACATATTTAAGTAACGTATAACAACTAATACTATGTAAACATATAACAACTCCTATAGTGTCATAAATATATAAAATATTTATATATTGATAAAAAAAGATACCACATATCTTTGATCACTAGGATGTACAGCAATACCAGTATCTCCTAACATTGTCTCAATACGAGTTGTTGCAACAGTAATCTTTTCATCTATAATAAAAAAGATATTAACAATCTCATACTGAAATGCAGAAAAAACAAATCTTAAAATTAAACCCATCTGTAGGGGCTTTATTACTTACATCAAATGAGAGTTTGGGGAGGCAGGACCGATGCATAAAAGGACAGAATAAAATTTTGATTATTTTATTACTTTCTGTCGAAAAAGGCCAAAAAAATCAGGATTATAATTGGCATTTTAAAAACTAAGCAGAAAATATTAGAATTGCGCCAACCTAATCGGTTGCTTAAACTACTAATTTAAAAAAGTTAAAAAGGAAACTGAAGTAGGGATTGCGAAGTGCTGGACTTTTTGTTGTCCCTGAAATAGTGTGAAAATAATTTTTCTCGCTATTTCAAAAAAGTTAGAGAAAAAAAAACTTTTTTCTTAACTTTTAAAATAATTTTTGTAATTTAAATCCCACAGTGGGCCCAGAGTTAGAAATAGACAAAAAATATTTGTTTGAAAAAGTCTCTATTTCTGGATAAATAAAAAAAATTATGTTTCTAGCTAATTTTTAAGTGATGATATGCAATTTTGAAGTTGATGAATTATTATGTGTATCTAAAAAAGTTTAGTAAATTCTGTTTTCTGAAATTGTGAAATGTGAAAAATTGTGAAATTTCTGAAATTCTGAAATCCATTCAAAATGAATTTACTAACACTAACATGAAAATTGATAAAACACTTATGTAAAAGTTGTTTTTAATTTGATATGGAATATATTTTTTAATAAGTAAATTAAAAATGTGTTTTTTTTTTGTTTTTGTTTTTTTTTTTCCAATGCTTTTAAAACTTAATTATGTAATTATGTTATAAATTTATGTTGTTTTTTACAAAAAAATTAAATCTTAGATTTTTTCAAAAGTACTAACTTGCCTCTACTGTGTCATACATTTTAAAAATATTTAAAATTTCTTCTTTTCAAATATTTTAAGGGGAACTGAGCAAGTTAGCACTTTTTTTTATTTACATGATTTAAAAAAGTTGAACAGTTATTATTATTATTTTTTTAAAGTATGTAAATATTTTATTTTTGGTTACAAACATGAAAATTTTATATTTTTTATTTGGTTATTTAATATGATTTTGTGTTTGTTTCAGCAGAAGTAAAGTAAAATAAACAATAAATGTAATGGAGGAAAATAAATATGTAAAATACATCACAGAAATAGATTTATTCACACAATTTATTAAAGCTGAAAAAACTGTCAAATCAAATTCAGTAACATATTCAGCCAACAAAAAAATACTTATTAAAAATTTTGAACTATCAGTTAATTCACTGGAGTTTGAAAATGTGTGTGAAAAACTTGGAAACATTATAAACGCCTGAAAGAGAAACATTTCAAGAAAAATGAATATGCATTTATACTTTCACAAGCGTCAAAGATTTATGAAGTAGAGGAAGCTTTTAAAACAGAACTGTGTTTTTTGAAACAAAGAAAATCTTTTACAGAACTGGGTGATAAGATGAAAAAAGAGAGGACACAGGAACTTCTCAAATATATAAACAACTTTATCACTAATGAGTGCCCAGAATTGCATGTTAACCAGTTATTGGGTTACCTCTCACATAAAGTTAACACACAAAATAATGAAAGTACTGCTCGTGTTGGAAATGCTATTTTTACAAACCATATGGAAACAACAGATATCTTTTGCATAGATAAATCCATTGCTCTAATGCATTCTGTAACATCAAGTAAAGAGCAAATGAGAAACTTATGATTTCTTTTTGCTTCAAAACGCATTTATCTACAACCAATGAATTACTAGAAGGAAGAAATAAACTGCGCCTTACAATTAGTAATGCTTTGACTGGAAGAGGTGTTTCTGTTCAATACAAAAAGCTTGCAAAAATGACAATTGATTCTGTTTTAAATATAATTAAAGATTATTTTATTCCAATAGACAGCGATGAGTATTAGATGTGTTTTAAGGTTGGTTGTGATGGAGCATGGCAACAAGTATAGATGAAACCAAAAGAAATGATTGAAAGCAAATCAAATGTTTCAATATGGTCTTATTCCTCTGAAACTAATATGCCATCGAGTAAAAATATGACCCTGTGACCAAATTATTCATTAAATGCATCGATATCTTTACTTCCTGTGTTTTTGATAAGAGAAACAGAAACTAATCAAGATTAGCTAGATCTTATTGTCCTAACTACTGATAACACACGAGGAGAGTTAAATAGAATGTGTTGTCTATTTGGCAAAAATTATATCTATGTCAAAATTTATATTCAAGATACAATGAAGGATTTAAACAACTCATCAGCGGACTAGGAGGTACAGATTGTATACTTTGCAAAACAAAAACTACTGAATGGACAGATATTAGGAGGGTTAGTGAAGGATTTCTGGTTGATCGATCATCAGAAAAAATTTGGATGCCGTTCAAAAAGCTAGTTGATAAGGATGATATCATTCCAACTAAAACTGGAGATTTTGCCACACAAAAAGGATTGACTAAAAAACCACAAACAAAATCTGATCAAAAAAGCATATGTATTACATATTCATATATAAATAGCATCACCTGGTTTTTAAAACTACTTTATTGGTGTCATATAAATTATAGACTTTGGGTTACAAAAACTGGACCACTGGAATGCGATTAGATATGTGTTGTAACTCTGGTGAGAAGAGAGAGACATCTACAACAGAGTCACAAGAACATTCTGAAAAACTAATTTCTAGCATAAAAGATCTATGTTCTCCTATGTAGAAAGATAGCATGTTACTACTACATTCTCAAATCAGTATATTACTTCATATAGTTTCTTGTCAGCATAAAGTTAAAACAGACAAATTTCAGGAGTTATGCAATAATGCTACACCAAATCATTATTACAAATATGCCATGGGCACAAATTAACCACACTCTTCATGGAGTCCTTCATCATTCAGCTGAGTTAATAATTCTTAATAATGGTTATGGCCTTGGCAATTTATCGGAGGAAGGTCTTGAAGCAAACAACAAAGATATTAGAATTTATTTAAAACTTCTCTCTTGTAAGACATCACATTAAAACAACTTTCCGATGTTATGAGTCGTCTTTTAGAGAGATCGGATACTTGTGTTTTAAACCGCGTTATCCACTCACGTCCTCCAGAGTTATGCCAAGATTGTGGTTCAAATGAACATACAACCAGATCTCATGAGCGTATGTTGTCAAAAATTTTGTATTTTGTCAAAAAAGAAATATTTTGATGATTAATTATAAAGTTATTAACATTTTTTACAATTTAACTTTTTATCTTCAAATAAATGTTGCAAGTTCAAATCATTAGAACTCTTTCTTTATAATTTTATTATACTAACATTATTTTAAACCCAAATTTGACTGAATACTTGCTTTTAAATATTAAACTTTTTATCAATAGAACAGTTGAAACCAGACCCCCATATATTATTTAAATTTTTGAACTTTCTTTTCTTTAAGTATATCTAATAAATTACTCTTTTAATTGTCATCTAAAAAAAAATTTAACTTTGAGTATTTATCAAAAAAATAATTTATCAAAAATGACCAAATATGGTAATTTGAACCCATTCCACAAATTTAGTTTAATATTTAAAATTTAAATTTTCCTATAACAAGCAAAAAAATATCTTTCTAAAAAAGTTTTCAATGAGTTTTTAAGGATTTCTTTATCATTAGTTATGATCCTATTTCCAAACCTTCTGGGCCCACTGGGAATCATAATTTGAAAAACCACTGAGATGACTGTTTGGGAAAAAACAGTTCATTGAGATGACTATCTGTCAATCAAGTTGAGATGACTATCTGTCAATCAAGTTGTAAACTTCGTAAAAAACTTTAACTTTTTAATGCAACACTTTGGAAAACAAAAAATATAACTTTGGCAGGTAAGGATACTTGAAATCCAATCATATTAGAAACTTGGTTTATTTTTTTATCTCAGAACAATCCCTAGGCTTAAGGAATTTTAAAATATAAAATATAAAGACTTTCTGTCTAAAATTTAAAATAAAAAGACTTTCTGTCTGAAATAAAACCTTAAGTTGATGTATGCACCTCTGCAGCACCTATGGCAGTGACGTATCCAGTTATTTTTATTATTCATTAAGTTATTTTTGAATATTCATTTAAAATTTCATACGCCCGTAAAAATTAATATTAATGTAGCAGTAAATGTTTTTTTTTTTTTATCTATACTGGACTGGATACGTCACGGTATGGGTAATTTAATTAGTCAATACACTCACTAATCCATCTCTAAATAATTGGGTGAAAAAATAAAAATAAAACAAAATTATAAAAAGCAAGAAAGAAAAGCAAGAAATAAAACTATACAAATAATTCAATATTTCAATTATTTTAATGGTTTTTATAAGAAAGTTAAAATGCCAAAAATATACAAAAGATGTTTTATCGATTGTCACTTAAACTGAAATATATACATCATATACAGATTTTTTGTTTTTGTTTTTTTCTTCATGTTTCTTAGTTTCTAGTTATAGACTTTTTTAAGTTTACACTTGCATATAAAAGTGAATGCAGGGTTTGCATTTTTTTGTTTTTTTTTAATAGTTAATTATTAATTAAAATAGAATTTTGAATGAAAAAAAAATCATAGAGGCATAAGTAAATAATTACTTTTGGCAAAAGTTATAGAACCAAATGTTCAACAATAAAAAATAATGTCAAAAAAAATATTATATCTATTTTC